TTGAAAGTTGGTTTAGCCATCATGGTAAGGCAGGAGTCGCTTAACCATGCTCTGTGGCCTGGATGTCCTCACACAATACACTGAATTTGGGGTTTCTACTGGGGAGGGCAGATGGGGCAAATGTGCCCATTGACATCTTCTTTGGTGTCTACCAGGCATCCTGCTCCATTCTGAGTCTTAAAAATGGTAAAAGATAGCATTTAATTTAACAGTTCAAAGGGGCAGCGTTTAATAGTTCAAAGGGGCAAGGCAATGTTCTAGTCTTTAATATCTTTATTTCAAAGAATGTCACTGCATCCAATATTAAGACATTATTCAGAAATAAAAATGGAACCTTGTTGTGACCTGGTGCTTTGTTTGGAAATGTGCTTACCTGCCCAGAAAAGACGAAAAGGTAGGCAGGATCAGTGAGGAACCTCAGGAGTTGGGGAAGCTGGAGGAGACAGCAGGCAGCATGTTGATAAATCAGCGCTTTGGAATTAGGAGTTTCAAAAGGCTGCCGTTATGTGAATGAGCAGGACCTCCAGCAATTATGTGCAAGCATACCCAGAACATGCTCCAAATACATTCATGAGACTAAAGAAGTCGGGAACCTGTGCTGAGCTATAAATCATGGCTTATGAACCACAATGGCTGATTTCACATGTCATCTAAGCCACCAACAAGCAAAACCTATTTTGCTTAGTTCAGCGTCTGAACGAAATGTACTTCTTTTTTAGGTGGAGCCTAGCTACATTAAAAGCAAAGCATCTTCTCTTCAGTTTGCTCTATTCTGTCATCAGCAGTGCCTGATTTAGGCATAAACTAAACAAGCTACAGTTTAGGGCCTCACAGTCTGCAGGGCCTCACAAAATTTCAGAATATCAGTTTTCTGATTTTGCAGATGAGTTCATTATTACTTACATTAATAAAAGTGATCCTGATTACTTATTTTGTCGGGCTTTTGTATATATATTTATGTATCTTAAATGTAATTTTTAAAATAATTTTAAGTATTGTTTCCAGGGTAAACTGTTATAATCTATGAGAGAGATCGAGCCAGCCAAATGATAAATATGTAATCAGTAAATGCATTCATCTGAAAATGATTTGTATTTTTCACTTTAAAGACCTTGCTATTTAATTAAATAATTAAAAGACATATATATGTTTTCAATTTTTTTGTGGCGGTCCTGTTCTGGTATGCACCTTAGTGAGACTTTCTGGTGTAACTTTTAACAAGGGGCCTCCAAGTTTTATATAGCTTAAGGCAGTGATGGCGAACCTTTTGGGCTTGGCGTGTCAAAAAGTTGGAAAATGCCTAACTTGACTCTGTTGGCATGTTATCTGCCCCTGAACAAAAGAGAAAAATTCTTTACATATTTAATTTTTTTAAAAAAATACAGTCCAATCATGTATGGTGCTATGTATTATGTAAAGAAACATCAAATAATTACAAAAATGAAATACTAGTGAAACAAACTCAGTTTCTTTGGTAACTCAGACAGGGAGAATAGTTGTTGGGTATTGGTGAACACTGGTATGTCACCCAAAATTTCATGGTGTGTCATCTTTGACATGCGTGTCATAGGTTCGCCATCACTGGCTTAGGGCCTCACCGTCTAAATCCAGCCCTGGTCATCAGAGTCTCACTGTTATAGTTTGATCCCTTAGGATTATATATAAAAATCCCTTAGGGTTATATATAAATATACAGTATATATATATATTCACTTTATTTATAAATCAAATATATAGGCCACCCAACTCATAACACTCCAGCAGAGTCAAGTTAGGCATTTTCCAAATTTTTGACAAGTTTAAAACAACGTCAAATATGATTTAAAAAATCATAGAAATGTACCTCTGTTTAGTTAACTATCACCCTGAGATGCATACATTTGGGGCAATATATAGCAGATGGTGATTCCTCCAATGATATTCTGAAAATGTGAACAAGGGAATGATGACGTTATCTGGGGAGAACAAGGAAGCTCAGCTTAAAGCTGTAAAGAAAATAAGGAGATAATAGAGTGTTTTTTTCCCAAACCATAGGTATGATCTTGCACTACAGACTGCCTTTTCTTTCTAGAAGAGAATTCTAAGAAGTGTTGTGGTAAAAAAAGAAAACATCTTCCTTGTGTATTTCTTGACTGCAGATTTCACAGTAAGAGATCAGAGTATAAGGAAAGTGCAGTGAAAACCCCATATTCTGTGCTGGACAAAATGCAGAAATCAGAATCAAAATCTGATCAGGGCAGGAATTGCCCATTGCCGTGTTTTTCAGATCATATATGAAATAGAGTGGGAATGAATTCAAAAAGTCTTTTTGTGACTTTTTCCATTTTTTCCCATTGAACTGAAATATTCATACCTGTGAGACTCATCACTGGCTCTGTAGCTCCATAATGGTGGGGTTTTTTTTAACCCATTAAAGTGGCTATGTGCTGCCAGAATCACCAGTCAGGAGATTTGACTGGGGTAGCAGCTGATTGGGTTATGCACGTTGTGAGAATGGGGTCAGTGAAAAGCTGGCACTGATCCTGAAAGCCTTTAAAATGTGGCCTCGGCATTTTCCTGGGTTTCATAATTGAAAAGGAATAATTGAACATGATATATGAGTCCCTCTAGTGGTCATCTGCAGAATTATATTACAAGGCAGAGTGCCTTCCCCAACTGAAGCATTGCCACTCTTTTCACCTTCCTGTCAAATCCCTAAGTGAAGCCTGTGTAAGATGTAGCTCGCTTCCCTTCTCTGATTTCAAGGCTAGGAATGGTAGCGTGAGCAAATTCCCACTCAGCAACCCAGGAAAGGGGAAGAGGTGGATGGGGTAGCTGGCTTCCTTCCTTCAGCTGGATTTGACCAGGAGCCTTCTACCAGGCCAGGAGCCCATTTCCTATTTGGAGTAATTCCTATGGCTTCCTCTGCCCATTATCTATTTAGTGGCTGAACAACACATCTAGTGTTGGGGACGGAACTTTTCCTGCATCTTTTCTACCCATTTTCATTTAATCTGGTGAAAGAGGATTTGCTTGGGAAATTTCCTCTTAGAAGAGAATTTGGTGAAATTCTGAAGCAGTTTCTCAACCTCAGTGACTCTAAGATGCATGCTGGCTGGGGAATTCTGGGAGTTGAAGTCCACACATCTTAAAGTTGTTGAGGTTGAGAAATACTATTCTAGAGGATAGTGTTCTTTCCCTTACAGTATTTAGCTGTAAGATGGCCAAGGGAAGGGTCCTGTATCGTCATCTCTCCAATGTCCCACAGCCTCTCTGGCTTCCTACATTTTCATTCAGTTCCAAGGGGGAGGGGGATATTATGAGAGAACTTTTCCCGTGGAGCTTCTTCAGGTCACCCCCAAGGAGAAATTGTGCCTTTGAGAAATCTTTCCTTTCCCTAGGAGAAATCTGTAGATACTGTCCACCCAATTTCTCTACTCACATATTTGGTGGAAATTAAAAAAAAAAATTGTGTCCAGCTCTTGCTGTTCCCCTCAAGAATTTACCAAAAAAAAAAAAAAAAGGTCAGAAAAGAATATTCCAATGTATGCAGTGAACCTAGCCACTCCCAAGGTAATATTATGGTGGTCATAAGCATAAAGTCATAAGCAGGTCAAAGCAAGTATAGTGCTGCTTGAAGACCTTGACTGGTGCTTTTTCTGAGTGTTGGCACATAATGCTCAAGTGGTTTATGTGACTGTAACACCTACAAAAGTTTTTTTTTTTTTCAGGGTGAGCAATGAATTACACCGCTAGGCAGAATTCAGGAGGTGTTCCTGAAATAGTCCCAAACAATCATGGGCATCTTCAAAGCAAGAGAGTGTATGGTCTGGGAGAAATGCAAGCCTAATCTTGAATCATCAGCTCTTTGTTGCACTCCTGGATGTTTGGAGAAAACAACACCAGGAATGGAATATTGGAGGTGGGAGAACTGGAGCAGATTCTGGGCTCAGTTTCAACACCCCTCTTTTTCTTCTCAACCATGAACGCTATACATTATCAGAGGCTGAAAATACTTATTTAAACCCTGCTCCAAGTTTCCATTCTTCATAATGAACCACAGTGACACATTCTGTGCCCAGAAGCTTTTGCTGATGTTGTTGAAAGATCTGCCCTTCAAGAGAGGGCAAAGACACACAACAGGAATAGAGCCTCTGAAGATAGAAGCTTGACAACAAAGAGGCAGCTCATAAAGTTTGGAAAACAAGATTAGATCGTTTCAGAGCTGGCGTTGGGGCAGCCTCCTTCCCTTGCTTCAATGCACAGATCTCTGAATGTCCTTGCCTGTGAGGAAATATAGCTGGTACTGGATCTGTTAGTGGTGCCCAGTGGAGTAGAGGCAGGTCCAGAGCTTCTGACCAGGCCTCTGGAGGATCTCAACTTTGGAAATTTGTTTTGACAATGCTAAAACTGGAAAGTGTGGATGAAGGAATGTCAGGAACCTCTCCCTGATTTGGTTTACACGTTGCCAAGCTATGATTTCTTTTATTGATGAAATAAATAAACACTGGCCAGATTCACCCTACATGCTAAACCAAAGCCATATAAACCGTGTTATGGCTTAGTAAGAATGCAGCCAATTCACTTGTTCTTCTGTTTTTGGGAGAAGCAATTGTTAAAACACAGAATCTCTAATGACAGGATGGTTAACCCTCTCTCTTTTCCACACTCTTAATGCCTAGCAGCCTGCTGTCAAACTCCACCGGGACTGCATACTGCTGCCTTCAAGCACATTAGCAAAATGATGGCTTGAGGAAGAGGTTGTGGTTTTGTCTAGGACCAGAATTATGCAGCAGCATAACGTTTGCCAGAGTTTTAGTTCCAAACCCTTAAAGTCTCTTTGACTTTGAGGGACCCAGCAAAATCAGCTCAGGGGCAAGGAGGAATACGTGATCTATTGCATTTCTGGCCAGGCTGATCATTTCAAACCTCTTCTCCCAAATTCTCCAGGCGTGGCCCTTATCTGCAAAAGCATCTCTACCCACTCTAAGCACTTACCTCACTTGTGTATTTTATTGCAGGTGGTACGTGATCAGATCTCTCACTGCACAGTGAAACTGCGCCAGACAACTGGGCTGATGGAATACTGTTTGGAGGTCATCAAAGAGAATGACCCCAGTGGATTTTTGCAGGTGACTGCTCGTGCTTCTTTTTCTTTCCTGTTAGGGAAGCATGGATTGGCTCTTCTCATTGCTTCACCCATTGTGAGTGGAATAACATGTTGTGATGTTTCAGACGGACCCATTTTGTGATCCCACAGCATTTCTCTAAGGAATAGAATGGAAACTAATCAGTCCATGGTTGGAATTGTGATATGATCCTCTCATTCAAAACTGATTGATGCAAGTATATATGGAGGGAGGACCTATGTTATTCAGGGTCCTTTGACAAGATGGCTTTAGTGCATCTCCCCAAACACCCAGATCCATTTCCCACTGAATCCAGTGGAAGTCATTACAATTCCATCCTTATTTGCATCTCCTTGTCTGGATTATTTTTCTATTTTACAAGTTGGACTCAGGAAAATAAATTCTTTAAAGGGATAAACATATTGAGAACAGAAATAACAGTGGAGTTGGCTTGAGAAAATAAACCACTTAGCCTTTTTAGCTATTTAAGGCATTCTGTCAAGGATTAGACAGAGGTTCCTGGTTGAGCATACAGAAAGACTTGGGTCCTTGTTTCTTACCAGGGGTGTCTGCAGGGTGCAGATCAAAAAAGTCAAGATGGAAGCAACAACCACACAATTAAAGCTTTGTCCCTTTTTACATGTGTCATGACACCCATAGAAAAGGAGTAGGGCTTCAATTGCATGGTTATGGTCACCATATTGACTTTTTTGACCTGCCTCTCAGTGGATAACCCTGTTCCTTACTCAAACAGTTTAGGCAGAGGAGTAAAATCCCCCTCTCTAAATACTTGGGGAAGTGTTGCAGATCAATAGACAATCTTTGGATGATTTGATCAGTAATCCACTGGCCAATTTTTCTGACCTCCCAGTTACCACAAAAGATTCTAAGAGGCAGATATTTCCTATCCCATTCATGAGAATAAAAAGCCCCCCAAATTAAAAACCATGATGTCATGATGAGGGTCTGTACCAACCATGTTTAGTTCCCCCCCACCCCCCATGTGATTGGTGGTAGGAATGAAAAACAAAATGGCCACAGAGATTTTAGTCTCAATTACAGACACTGAATTGGACAACATAGGAAAAGGTGGTTGACTGTAGGGAGTCAGTTTAGCCCCTGCCCCAAGTTTGGATCTATTTATGGCTAAACTAAGATCCTCAGGGTTAACTAGCTATGTCATAATCCAATTAAATGATCTTGTGCATGTGAATGAAGGTATCCCTCTATCTCTATCTTACTCATGTATACATGGTAGCTACCATGCTGATCAATTTTAAGCTAGGTCCTCCATTAACTGTCTTGAAGCAACAGGTTCTTAAATTTTTGTCCCTTTTTGTGAAATCAACATTTCCCCCAATGAGGAAACATTGTCCCAAAACATGCTGGAATTGTTGGGCTTTGTCTTCAAATATAATCTGATGTATGAACAATACCATTCATAATCTATATCTTTGCCATCAGTGTCTGTCTCCAATGCATAACTTCACAAGTCAAGTGGAATGTAGTCAGCTCCAGTAATGTCTGGTCAACCATAGGTCATGTTGTCTGGGAATGATGGGGATTGTAATCCACTGTTTAAAGATGTTAGGTGAGAAAAGACTTAGGGAGATAAGCAAGCGCTCATATTTATTTATTCCATGTATAGGGGCACCTGAGAACTCATATCCTCATTTAGGCTTAGGTGCAACCAGGAACATACTGGGGCTGAAAATGGGTTTTGCATTATCTATCAAGTTTTATGCTCCTCCCAACCCATTCTTCTCCCAGAGGCTTCTCCCAGAGATCTATGTATAGATCTGATCATGGTGTACATTGATTCTTTGATTTTCTTTGTCAACAGATTTCTGACGCACTGATACGAAGAGTGCACCTGACTGAAGATCAGTGGGGGAAAGGGACACTCTCTCCAAGGATGACCACAGACTTTGACCTCAACCTTGATAGTGCCCCTTTGTTGCAGTCCATCCACCAACTCGACTTCATGCAGATGAAATGTAAATGTATTTATCTGTGTGCTTTCAAAGCTGCAATTGACTTACAGTACTATCTAAAGCTCTCTTAAATATCTATACAATTAAATATACATTAAAGTGTAGAAGGTACTGCAGATTTAAATAGTGTGAAAGGGAGAATGAATTATGCTTTCTGGCCCTACTCTCACATCCTTCTTGGCCTCAACCCACCTGTCTGGTCTGGATTCTAAATCCAATGTTTGCCTATTAGTATCCCTCCTTCAGTTCTCAGAAGGAAATTAAGTTGGAGCTGAGCCACCAGGAACACAATGGAAGATATATGGCCAATGGGTGTGATCCTGCTGTTTTCTGCCTTACACAACTATAATCATAAGCATGTAATGTTTAGTGGGGTTTTTTTGTTTTTTGCCTTAGAGACAGTCCTAACTCCTGGCCATTACATGGGCAAGTTGATGCAGTTTTCTAGGCAGAATTTTTGGAAATTGTTTACCATTGCCTTCTTCCTAGGGTGGAAGTGACTGGTTGAAGGTTACTAGGTTGGCTTCTATCCCTAAGGCAGGACTAGAACTCAGTTCTTCTTATTTCTAATCCAATGCCTTAACCACTAGACCAAACAAATCCTTTGGTGTATGAATAGGACTCATGTAATAAACATATCAAATCCCCAACAGCTAGCTCAATGTTTCTCAATCTTGGCAGCTTGAAGATGTGTGGACTTTAACTCCCAGAATTCCTGGGAGGGGCTGGGGGGCTCTGGGAGTTTGAGTCCACACATCTTCAAGCTGCCAAGGGTGGGAAAAACTGAGCCTGTCCATGCTTCCTCTA